GTAATGATTTTTTATTACGATCGAAATGGGCCGACCAATATGAATAATATCTCAATTCTATTCAAGCCTATGAGTATGAAAGTCAAGTACATGCAATGCCTTGCAAATGGTATTATTGATAAACATAACTTGACAAACGTTCAGCCATTATAGGGACGGTGGGGTAGCCAAGTGGTTAAAGCGTTCGCTCGTCACGCCGAAAACCCGGGTTCGATTCCTCCAATGGGTACAATGTGTGAAGCCCATTTTAGGTGTCCCCCGCCGTGATATTGCCGGAATATTGCTAAAAGCGGGTAAAACTAAACTCACCCACTCACTCCATTATAACCGACACTGTCCATGTATTTCATGCAGCCCCGACTATTTTGCCGTCGCCCATGTCCGTGTATGAACCATACAGAGACACATACAAATTGCATTTCTAGCATTGCCATCGAAAAACATAGTTTTATTGCTTCCTTTTTAAAACAGTTTCTGAAGAGAGAATACAATACAACCATTCTGATTAACACATATAAGATTCAGATTTTAGATTCGCAAATCGTAATCGAGACGGGAAGCTATATGAGGACCTTAGGAGAACGCATAACTTGTCAGTTGACACGAATTATTATCAGTGAAGATCTTACCGGACCCAAGCAGCCCTAGCTCGAAGGGCCCGCCAGCTTGTCTTGGATGAGAAAGTTGAGGCATCATGGGTGACCAGTGGGGTCATGCATCCTCATAAAGATGCTGGACGGGACGGCGAGAAAGGTGGCCAACAGCACTTCGATGAAGTGTGCGAGTCTACTAAACTCAAGGTGGTGATTAGTCTGAGTCAAGACAAATGAATACTATTACAGTCATGAGATAACTTGTATGAGATACCCATAATGCCCTTGCACGATCTCATGAACAGTTACTGTCGATAGTCATCATGACTCCATGCTTGACATCAGTGTAACATCAGTGTAACTGTACATAAAACTGTGTTGTTTACAGTAACATTGCGGTTTTGCAGAGATTCACATGTGATATAAATGAACAATTTATATGATTTAGATAAATATGATAATATGCGCTCAAGAAGTTGTCAACGCCACCCTTCACGTCTTCAGTCAGCTAGATGTGAACGGTGAACGCGCTGCGAATGTTGTGAAGCACGTGAGTGTGTGGGATGCACGAGCAGTGTGTCCGTGCTCTACATGCTATGTAACGGGTCTGTCTACTACAGACGGACAACACGTGAGGTGAGGTGTGGTGAAATTGGGTTTTACGTCGTGCTTGAGAATATTTCGCTCATATGACGACGTGCATGCGTGTGTATGTGTATGTGCGGCTGCTTGTACTAGCCCAGACTGAAGCTGGTTTTATAGTGCTAGCCCACTGAGGTACCATGCCGCAGTGAAGGATGAATACCCCACTCAGACACATTATACTGACTCCGAGCCGACCAGTCCTTGTTGTACCAATTAATGCCGAGCGCCAGGCAGGGACCAACAAGTACCATATTTTAACGTCTTTTGGTATGACGCGATCGGGGATCGAACCCGCGACCTTCCGCTCTCCGGGCAGACGCTCTAACCACTACACCACGGAGGCGGTCAGACAACACGTACTTACAATAGATCGTCCATACAGGTAAAATGTTAGCTTCCTCCGATGATAACGAGTCCCAGTGTACCAACTTGGTTTGTATGCATACTATGATTTTGCTTGCTTGGTTCCTCATTTCATTAAAATGCACATACAAATACACATTTGTTTGCATCTCTAACCAGGTGTAATCTTGAATACGAGTGGACGTTGCTTAGCATAGCATTAAATACATGTATAATACATTGTGTAGTATATGTGCAACATATACAGTATTGCAGTATACATATACAGTAAGGGCTGGACAGAAGGGCAAATAATATCGGTCTGTGACTGTGAGACAGACTGGGACAAGATATGGAAAACCAACAATTTGGACAACAGACCATTGTTTGGGTCATTTAATTGTAAATATAATTCAACTAGCTTAACCTAGATTTCGATATCCTTCGAATGTACATTTGGTTGAAACTGGAAAATATACATTTATCCCGAGACAAGAACGAATGTTTAAATATAATTAAAAAGTATAACAGGACGAGTATTCATTTTGTCTTTTGTCTTCTACCCGTCCCTACTAGACTAACAACTAGACTCTGAAATGAACATATTTTACAGAAAAATAGTTCATAGTAAAAGTGAAAAATGTAATAAAAAGGAGCCCTGAGACATTCTCCGGAAGCTGTGGAAATCTACACTTGCCACATTTTTCTAGACTTGCGTGGGCTTGGATATATTTGCTTCAGGGTCTATATGACAGACTACGTCCCTACATACGCTCAATCACATGTGTCTCCAGGTCACGGAGAATCATTGGTGCAGGGGCCCATATTGCAATTCTCGCGCGTTTGCATGTGTTGTTGACGCGGCATGGACGCCTTGAAACATAACTATTTGATTATGATTCACAAACACATGCTCATGATATGGTCGGAATCATGCCACGGATTAGCAGATATTTATCATGAAAACAGGTTTTAATGTAGGTGGCTTGAAACTTGCTTTTACAAAGGCCAATAGATTCGATCACAATACTTTTCGTTTTACAACTTCTTTTCTCTTAACATGCTGACCTCAAAACTGATTTAAATTCTAATCGCTGATTAAAGAGTAAGACAATAAATAGTATGTCAAATCATCGTTACCATGACAACCCTGTGATATTTTACCTTATGTAAGAGAGCTATAAATACGATGCTGGGTGTGGCAGTACTACTGCAGTTGATAGTGTCTGTCGTAAATTTTAATAAGTTGCTTCAACGCTATCACTAATCACTGGGTATCTATACAACTATATGTGTGATGGAGAAGCACTTGCGTCGCTAGTACATCGCGCACTACCCCTTTCTCTTTTGATCTTCTCAAGCGACTGTTACAAGTTCGAAGAATCCTGGTCAAAGTTGAAAAGTCTTAAGACTATTCCCTACTATTCTGTAACATACACATTGTACCTAAAATGGGTAGAGCTTCCGTTCGGGGGAATATCAGAAGGACAGCGATACATTTATCTCCAATGTTGTAGAAGGCACTCCACTTACTTAGGAAAACAATAACTTAATGAGATATTGCATTCATGTCGGAATCAATATTTTCGGCCCCAATCAGATGTGAACATGATAGGTCTGCGTCTATGTCAGACTTAAGGTCTGCGAGTTGTTTAGCAGCACTGGGGCGTAATAGTGATATAGGCCTGCTCCAAACAACGGAATACAAAGAAACTATTTTTCATTTCATGTCTCACAGAATATATAATTTGATATGGCATTGTTTGTTGTCGCATACTTTTGCGCTAGTGAAACAAATGTGGACAACTTAAAGCTGCATGGCGTTATTACAGCAAAGGATGAGCGGAAGGAGAAATAACATGGTTCAGGCACTGTGAGACTATTAAGAAAGGTCACATCATATTCCCATTATGTACCGCCGAACAATAGTTTACAGTAGTGAGATGAATAAACTTAAGAAATTACGAGTTGGTACGTGTGGCATATTTGGCTGAGCTCTAAGAGAGATAAAGTGCTATTCTGTTGGGACAGCTGGGACACTTGCAAGGACAAAGGGGCAGCTCTTCGCCCTTTTGTTCATCACTCACAAGATTTGCCAACACCGCACACAAAGCGTAACTGATACTTGTAGCAAGAGCGAGTGCAGCTTAATAAGCCATGTTAGCTTGCGTTATACTGCTTTGTTAGTCAGGCTCTTTTGATGATAAGAATATTGAGGTCATGTGAACGTTGATTTCAAACGTACTAAAATGTGTGAAAATGAAATTACATGAACCAAGTAATTCACAAGATGGAAACAAATGATCATCTTGCTTGAGCACAGGTAACATGAAGGTGTATGAACCGTTCATATACATACCCCTGATATCCGGTATGATACATACATATCTAAGGTGTGTAAACATTTGCAAATTTGAAAACTTACATGTGTTTCCCCACCTCAGTAAATTTACATGTTTCCAACCTGAGTAAACTTAGAACGAAATCGTAAATTTCACCACCCATTAAAATTCAAAGGAATGCATCGGAAATACTGTATGATCATGTATTTACTGGGGTATCTGTTTTGCAAATCATGTTTGGAAATACCTGACAATCCGGTCATGGCATACATGAACGAGGTACTTGTGCATACGAAAATGTACGATGAGCATATGTTTCAAAGGTATAGATTCATATGAAATATATGCCCGAAGTTAGGAAATATCTGAAAACATACGTAATCCGGTCAAGGCATGTATTTCCTACTTTATTTACGTTTATTTCAATGGTTTACTAGCCGGCTTTTGGTCCTGTGTGTAGTGCCTGATATTTTACCCACCGCAATCATTTATGTGTTTAATGTAAAAATATATCTTAGTGAATGTATTTAATGTTAAACGCTATGGTATTATATGAGTGTCTACACCATGCATACCTTTCGAAATATATATATATATTACAGGGAGTTTATGAAAAAACTGTATCCGGGGGGATGCAGGTTGGACCGAAAAAGAAGTGTCCTGTAGCCTACAGACGGATGGAAGTAGCGTATTTGTTCTTATGGTAAAGAGGTTAAGAAACCATGAAGTAAAGAAATAGCTGTGCAATACATTGTTTTAAACACATCCATTGAGAGGGGCGGTGGGGTAGCCTAGTGGTTAAAGCGTTGGCTCGTCACGCCGAAGACCCGGGTTCGATTCTCCACATGGGCACAATGTGTTAAGCCCATTTCCGGTGTCCCCCGCCGTGATATTGCTGGAATATTGCTAAAAGCGGCGTAAAACTAAACTCAGTCAGTCAGTCCATTGAGAAGTCTTGTTATAATTTAACTTTTTCTGTAAACATTTGATGAACAGATTAATATGATATGTGAAGGGGACTAACAAATATTAGTGGAATCTTGAAACACATCTTGATTTATTTGTCCATATGCTTCAGAATGCTGTGGCGGTACTCAGTGGTATGCCGTACTGTGTATTCCGACAGTGTTATTGCGAGTACTTCAGGGGAATTGAAGCTGCTACACTTGTCAAGAAAATGAAGCACAACGGAGACACTATGTGCAACCTACCATTTTGTAGCGATCCCCAAAAAGAGGCAAAAGATAAATCCGTGGGTCCTCTGCAATGGTTGTGACCGTTGGTGCCATTTCGTTTGTGCTGGAATTGAGGAGAAACCGAAAGGCTGATACATGTGTCCAATTTGCTCGCTAGTATGAACCCTGTGTTGTTTACATTTGTTACTGGTGAATTACTGGATGTTTCATAAAATAATCTGTGACTACAGAACATTTGCTACTCAGTAAATAGAAATACATGTAACTCTATAATTATTTGCTGCGGGTGTGATGATAACCCAACTGTGTTTGAGTGAGTGAGTGAGTTTAGATTTACGCCCCACTCAGCAATATTCCAGCTATATGGCGGCGGTCTGTAAATAATCGCGTATGGACAAGACAATCCAGTGATCAACAGCATGAGCATCGATCTGCGCAATTGGGAACCGATGACATGTGTCAACAAAGCCAGCGAGTCTGACCACCCAATCCAGTTAGTGGCCTCTTACGACAAGCATGGGTTACTGAAGATTCAATCTAACCCGGACCTTCACGGGTCCTACTGTGTTTGAGGTTTTGCAAACGTATATCGGGGGTTATACTGTCGCAAATTTAGTTATATCGGCAACGCGTTAACAGAGCATGAAATATGCTACGGTATAAACACCGAAATACGTTTGCAAATCCTCAAACACAGTAAGGCTTATCACAATTCGAATTCACCTCCGTTTGTAACAAAAAAAGTCATTAAACTTTTATGATTGTAATTCAGTCACCATCGATGTCATTTCACCTCTATGTTATTCCACCTGTATTAGTGTCATCCCACCTCTACGTTATTCCTCCTGTATTAGTGTCATCCCACCTGTATGTTATTCCCCCTGTATTAGTGTCATCCCACCTCTACGTTATTCCTCCTGTATTAGTGTCATCCCCTGTACCTGTATTAGTGTCATCCCATCCCACCTGTATTAGTGTCATCCCACCTGTATGTTATTCCACCTGTATTAGTCTCATCCCACCTGTATGTCATTCCACCTGTGTTAGTGTCATCCCACCTGTATGTTATTCCACCTGTATTAGTGTCATCCCACCTCTATGTTATTCCACCTGTATTAGTGTCATCCCACCTGTATGTCATTCCACCTGTATTAGTGTCATCCCACCTGTATGTTATTCCTCCTGTGTTAGTGTCATCCCACCTGTATGTTATTCCACCTGTATTAGTGTCATCCCACCTGTATGTTATTCCACCTGTATTAGTGTCATCCCACCTGTATGTTATTCCACCTGTATTAGTGTCATCCCACCTGTATGTTATTCCACCTGTATTAGTCTCATCCCACCTGTATGTCATTCCACCTGTGTTAGTGTCATCCCACCTGTATGTTATTCCACCTGTATTAGTGTCATCCCACCTCTATGTTATTCCACCTGTATTAGTGTCATCCCACCTGTATGTCATTCCACCTGTATTAGTGTCATCCCACCTGTATGTTATTCCTCCTGTATTAGTGTCATCCCACCTGTATGTTATTCCCCCTGTATTAGTGTCATCCCACCTTTATGTTATTCCTCCTGTTTTAGTGTCATCCCACCTGTATGTTATTCCTCCTGTATTAGTGTCATCCCACCTGTATGTTATTCCTCCTGTATTGGTGTCATCCCACCTGTATGTTATTCCCCTTGTATTAGTGTCATCCCACCTGTATGTTATTCCACCTGTATTAGTCTCATCCCTTGCTGGCGGCCCAATTAGAGATCGATATACTTAGGTGTGTACGCAACTACGCAACTATGTCTACTACTCGGGAGCTCAAGTAGATCGCCAAGCAGCGAGGTTTAATTGGTTACTCTAGAATGAGGAAACCACAGTTGTTGAGGTTACTCGGCCTACAAGCCCCTCCTACTGTAAAACAACTAAAAATCCGAGCAAAAGAGCTTGGGTTGACGGGTTATTCCCACCTTGGGAGAGCCGAGTTAGTTGCATTATTAAACGGCCCTGGTCGCGTTAAGACCCCCACTGTAAAACAACTAAAAGTAGAGGCACGCGATTTGGGGTTAGCTGGTAACTTGGCGCGCTGTAGGTAACTATTTGAGAGGCTGGCGTATGCATGTTGATAGGAACATAGACATCACTGATATCAAGCCTCTAATCGCTGATAAAGTCAATGAGGAACTAAACGATCTGGGAAGTATAAAGTTTCAAATCACAGTGAAAATGTCACTCAATAAGCAGGGGAATGGGGTCATTGAGTATGTTCAGCCTTACTTCCGAGGTAAACAAGAAGTCGTGACTCACACAGAGACTATAGACGCATCAATCGATACCAGTTTTCAGCAGATACGAGAATACCTAGAACGCTACACACACATTGGATCCGGGTGGGTTGTTGATAAAATCGATAATGTTTATCTAGACATAGCTAACTACGTGCCGTTCAGAGGCGGGTCATACCTAGACTTACCCCCCTACTATAAGAAAAAACATGCCATGGTCAGAGTCAAGAATAGAGGAGATGATTGCCTGAGGGTAGCTATCAGGTCAGCCTTGTTTCCAGCTGACACTCATTCAGACAGGCTTTCTAGCTATCCCCAAGACGATGGGCTCAACTGGATGGTATAGATGAACCTACCCCCATATCTCAGATCACTAAAATAGAAAAACAGAATAATATAGCCATAAACGTCTATGGGCACGAAGGTAACACAACAATAGTGCACAGGATCAGCCCAGTGTTGGGGGAGGAGGGTCGCCGCATTATCAATATATTCATGATCCAGCGAGGTGATAAGTACCACTACGTGTGGATAAAACACTTTAGCAGGCTGTTGCACGACCAGTTGATATACGATGGGAAAAAACACTTTTACGATGCCTCCATGGCTTCACACGAGCTGATTTATTAGAATCCCACCAGGAGGATTGCCAAGGTGTGGGGCAGACGGCCATACGAGTCGACATGCCTAAGGAAGGCGACAATATCCTAAAATTCGACAACCACAAGAACCAAATGTCTGTGCCTTATGTCATCTACGCCGACTTTGAAGCCTTGGTCAAACCCGTTGAGGCTGTTGGGGGTACCCCAGGCACACAGAAAACACAGGAGCATGAGGCCTGTGGGTTTGGATACGTGGTCGTCCGGTGTGATGGGGAAACGAAAGCTCCGGTAGTGTATAGGGGTCCCGACGCGGCTGAAAAGTTTCTAAAGTGTTTGCAGGAGGAAGAAAAAACTATCAGGAATGCACTGTATACAGTCGCTCCCATGCGTCTGACCCAAGCCGATCAGCTAGCTCACGCCTGCAGCACTCACTGCCACGTGTGTGACTCACCACTGAACGGTGATTCGGTGAGAGATCACTGCCACGTCATCGGTAAGTATAGAGGCTCCGCTCACAGCGCGTGTAACCTCAAGCTTAGAATCACCCCCAAGACAATAAACAGCCCCATGGTCTTCCACAACTTGAGAGGGTACGACTCTCACTTGATCATGCAGGCCATCGCAAAAGTCGACGGCAACCTGACGTGTATCCCCAACAACATGGAGAGATACATCTCCTTCAGCTTGAATGGTCTGAGGTTCATCGACTCGATTCAGTTCCTCCTGTCGTCACTCGACAGTCTGGTCAAGGCCAACGATACCTTCCCCATCACCGATCGATACACCAACGCCGAGACTTGACCCCTGCTGATGAGGAAGGGCGTGTACCCCTACGAGTACATGGATGGCTGGGCAAAGTTCGCCGAGACCCGACTACCCCCCATCAGAGAATTTTACAGCAACCTGACCGACTCGACAATATCCCAAGCCGATTACTTGCACGCGATTAACGTATGGAATAAACTGGGCTGTAAGAATCTGGGTGACTATCACGACCTGTACTTTAGGACAGATGTACTGCTGCTAGCCGACGTGTTTGAGACGTTTAGGCGGACATGTTTCAAGCAGTATCAACTCGACCCCGCATGGTACTATACCAGCCCAGGTCTGTCATGGGAACCGAGTCGTTTTCACCACGGCAGTATAAGAGGTTAACTCGGGGCAACATCCCTGAGCTGATAATATAGATATAAATCATAATCCGGTGAATATAGGATACCTCAGCATAACCTGGACATAAAATGACTAGCGCACAAGGCCCCAGGATGAAGGTGAAAAAGTGCATCAATGCGGGGATCTCCGATCTCGGGGACATACGCGGATTCGACGACCCTGGAGTAGATGGTAAATTGCACGCCTTGCAACTGAAAAACAACATTTACGAAGTCCCCATCATTGGTGGTACTAGAAACCTAAGCGATATAGTAGATACCTCAGGAGCAGCCCCCAACACTCGGTACGACCTAGTTCGCATCGGTGATGATAGATGGGCAGTATACCCTTCGTTCGGAAGCAAACTGTTCGACTTAGAAGATGTTGAGAGCAACGTGACGGCCATCACCAAAAATAAGCAGTATTCCCTCGTCTTAACCGACGACGACAAGCGGGTGTTGTTGCCCGCTAAAGTCGACTGGTTTCTCAATATTAGGCTCGGCTCCCCCTACGTGTTCATGGAGAACATAGACAACTACCTAAACAAAGTCGTGAATAACGGAACCCTGCTCGTGGCTTACGTCCCGGCTCAGAGACGTAGCGTAGTCATCAGCCCAGCCGCCAGTATGGCAGCTCACATGCTATCTAGCAAGCCCGGGGTGCAAAACGTGACATTGCAGTTGGTGGCTGAATTCGAAGGCGTGGTCAACATCCTGGAGAGTCTACCGCGAACTCAACACTGGCCATCCAAGTCTACCTAGGGGAACCATCGCTTGATGAAGTCGAAATCGTGAAGGGGATCAAACTCCGGTGGGGCAAACGACACCAGTATCACTGTTTACGCATGCGGGTGGGTGTCGACTCCAAAACCAGTCTGCAGGGGTCACCGTGACCGTGGAAGACACGATATCACTCATCAAGATCCTCCTACACGACAACATACACTTCATGGGGTGAAGTGCACCCTGAACTATTATCAGAAAACAATTGGAAACTATCTCGTAATAGTATTATAGCAATGACTAGGCATCGGCCCAACGCTACGCTTTAACGATCTAGGAGACATGGAGGATTCGATCAGCCTGGTGAGGAAGGTGGCTCATACGTCCTACACTTGAAAACAACGTGTATAGGCGGGCGGTAATGGCCGATCATCTACCCAAAATCACCCTGGGGGGTCTAGGAGGTATAGAGGGATTCGATCAGCCTGGCGAGGACGGCGCCTCGTACGTCCTACGCTTTAAAAACGGTGTGTACATACGGCAGTCCCTGGTAGACTTAAAAGAACCCAAATGGGTGATCAATGCGACCCTCACCGCATCTTATATCT